AGGCTAAGCAAATGCTTCTTGCCTAACCGACCGGCAGAATGTCCAGGGGACGGCCAAGTTTAACCTGGTGCAAATATATGGAAGGAGTCTGCTGTAGACTCTGGCTGTCTTTTGCTGAAGCTCAGACTCTGGCACAGGATCGGAAACGTTGAAAGCGCTGTGTGACCCGTCTGCCTCCGCGGCTCGGAAGAAGAAGCTGCCGTGGAAGTTGAAGATGAAGAAGATTTTGCAGCACTTTTTGAACAAAACCGGGACTTTCTTTTGCTCAGAAGAGTTCATTTCAGAAATTGAATTTCAAAATGATTTAGTCTTCAGTCAATTCTACAGCGGTTTTAGTCATACCTGTGCACGAAGACTACCGCCACCCGACTCTTTTCTCTCCGCAGTGGCGTGCTGTCTCTGTGTCGAAGTGGTCTGCTTCGAACTCCGGAGGTTGCCGGGGTTTGATTCCCCTCAAGGGCAATCTTTGTCTTATTGACTAATTCTTTTGATCAAGAAATTTACCATGAATTGCTTCTAATTTAGTTATCTCAGCCGATACAACGCCTGACTGAAAATTGACAGGTCTTAGGTTCTAGATCTAATCGGGATAACTCGCCCTTCTTCCTTCCTGAGATGATAAATGATCACTACTGCATGGAAAGGAAAGAGACGACTTCTCACTGTGCATGCCACGCGATTTGACTCTTAAGATCTTCCTGGTTCAGCATATTTGCAGGCTTTTTCCTAGGCGTTGCCTTTCATTCTCTATCACATGTAACTTTGGCCAGACTTTCAGTAAGCATTCTTTTGCAACACGTTGTCCTTGCCTTTTCATGGAACGAGTAAAGCGTTTAATGATTAGTTTTCGCCGTTTCATTTTCGAGAATCCGTCGGCGTTTCTGTCATAGCGGCTCAATTTCATTACGAACATAATGTTGATGAAGTCGCATGAAACGCTGTCATAAGGTAGACTGAGGACCATATAAATGAATCATTGAATAATCTTACCACTCACTAGACTCCAATGGACTGAGCTTCTATTGTTGACAGAAGCCAGGACCACTGAAAAAATATGCAGCATCCTTCCGCTGCTTCCCATAGGCTGAAAGAAATGGGTTGCTTAAAATTGAATTTTATTTGATATTTTTTATGAACCATACTGTGGACGGACCATTAACTTGTAATCAACAGCGGTTTCCTTTTGTCTGATTGAAAATTTGTCCCTTAAAGCCCCATTTCAATGAAACTTGGTCATTTTGAATTAAAAGTTTTCCCGTTACTAAAGTTACTTTAAAATCTGGGTGTATTTTCAAGTGGATTTCCATTAAGTACCAAAGTTCAGTATACTTTTGTAAAGGTACATAGTTTTTCTATGCTACAGAGATATATTTTATAGATACGATTGCGAACGAGTGTCGCGTGTCCCATAAAGAAGCCGATATCCTGTATGACAGCACCTGCTTCGCGTTCCTCATCATCCAAGTGCGTATTCTTGGCACTTGGTATTTTCAACATGCCGCGTGTTCTTTCAAACTGGAACACATCTTCAGCGCTAGGTACCGTTTGTCGTTCCTGTCATTTTTTTCTCCATATTCTGATTTTCGTATTGATAAAAAAACTGGTGGTATTGTTTTAATCTCTCGTTTATATTATTTATTTGTTTTTTGTATAATTTAGTTGTTACTTTCCGTCTTGCTATTACTTTTTTTGCACAGTGTTAAGCTTGTGTTGTTGTCGACAAACAATAATTACCAGAATTTGTTTGCATGGCGTTACCTTTCATTATTGTGATGTTGGTTCAGGGGTGCCGTACTGATAGATGACCTGGTTCTGAGACGGATGAAGACGCAGCAGGAAAAGGAGAAGCGACTCGTTGAAAAAATCAAGAAGTCTGCTGAAATGATTCGGAACCGGTATCTGAAGAGTGTTGAAGGCAAGGCCGTGTTTGAGCCGACCACGTATGGCCAAGGTACTGCATTTTCGGTCATCGGCGTTGGCGAGGGTCACTAGTTAAATTGTATATGATTTGTTTGTTTGCAAGCAGCGTAGTGCGTCCTCTTGTTCTTTGCCTTACTTCAGCAGCAGTTTCATGAATGACCTGAGCTGTGTTCAATTCTTTGATCGAGTCATTGATTCGTTGGCAATTGCTTCACGCCGTTGGAACGCTTAGACACACTGAGCTTTTTGAGAATACGATATTTTTACTGACTTTATCTTGGCTTTGCATAATGTATAGGTTAGAATGTAGGTCCATGTCTAGAGTAACGGTTGAGAAATGCATAAGGTTTACATTTCTTCTCCAGATACTTGTTTTGTCCATCTGACCCTGGTTCGTTTCCTTCGTATTGGTTGAAGAGAATACTTTCAATCGTATTTCATTCCATAATTACATACGCAGCTTTTCCAGTTGACTTATCCGCTGTCAATGATAATATTGATGTAGGCGGTTATTGCTTGTTTAAAATAATAAATTACCATAAGTGGTAGCACCTCGTCAAATAAAAGCAAAGTTTCTTGTAAAACTTATCGACAACTGAAGGTAGTTTTTAGCGAAGCGAGCCGGCGATTATTATATGTTCGAATATGACTTGGATGCTGACGTAGTGGACACGACACAGCAGGAAGAAGATCAGTTCGAGGACGTATCTGAGGGGTCGGTTGAAAAGCTCGGTCCTGCTCAAGTACGTCTTCCGCATTAACAGCATTCAATTCACTGTTCTTTTTCCTTTGTAGATGATTCATCGAGCAGCCGAAACTGACATGACTTTGGCTGAAATAGCCGCAGGTCATAAGCTGCCGGTCTTGACTAAAGTCAGTTCCGAAGACCGCGGATCGTTATCATCCGACTCTCCTTCTCTTTCTCCTCCGACCAGTACAAAAGCTGCTAAGTCAGATATATTCGTAGGGGTAGTAAAGTTTGCTCTGTCGCTCATGGGCAATGGCTTGCGGTGGTTGGCTACGGTGTTCGACAGTTACTCAACAGATTATCGCTTTGTAGCGTACGTTCTGAATACGGAGAAGATGACTCTCACTCGTGACCTGTCGAACGAGATCGCGCCGGACAGCGAAGTGCGGGATCTCCATCACATCGTCTCCCAGTCCGATTTTGGAAAGCAGATCTACCAGCCCCCTTCAGAGCAGTCCATCATTCAGTAGGATATTATTTGCTGTGTTCTATTAGTTCTTTAACTGCGTGTAATATAGAACCGAGCAGAGCCTGATGGAAGAGCGACGTAAACGCAGTAGCCTCCTACAGTTTTTGGTCGCCACTTATTACTTACTGATTGCGAATACAGAGACAATCTGTTTTGTGGCCATCATCGTCAATCAGATGATGAACTCGTCAGTGATTTCGCTGCCGCTGCCGTTGCTGATCTTTTTCTGGGGTACACTGTGTTCGCCGCGCCCTCCAAAAATCTTTTGGATCATCCTTATCGCTTATATCGAAGTTATGATCGTCGTCAAGTTCTTCTTCCAATTCGACCTGTTTCCATGGAGCCATAGGATAGTCGGCTCTAACGAGCCGTTGTATCCGCCGCGCATCATCGGCATCGAGAAGAAGCCGTTCTTCGCCTTATCCGACGTCGTACTACTCATGATACTCTTCTTCCACCGCTATCATCTAAAGGTATTTCATGCATGCTTGTAGGTTTCACATACTCTTTAGTGCAGATGATAGTTTTCCAAAAAAGTGGATGGGATCCATTGTTTGAGATTGTAGATCCAAAGATTTAAGTGAAAGTATGCAACCACAGCAGTTATAACAGCCCTGCCCTAATGCAGGACTTCTGGTCCGTTGAAAATCGACTGTTTGCAGGAGGAACGAAATGCATTTTACCTTCAACTAACTTTCATTTTACCTCTTGTACACAGACCAGTGTTGCTCAGTCGGTAGTCGGTAGAGAGGTCTTCGGTTCTAGTTCCGCACCCATTGTTTCTTCCAGAGTTGATAAATAGGTAACTACTCTGTGGAAAGGAAGCAGGAGAATACAAACTGTGCTTACCACGTAGTTACTGTTGACTCTGCCTTTAAAGTACCACCATTTAGTAAGTGAAGTGTAAAGTCCTGAAAAGAAGTAGCAGAGACGGCCTTCTTATCAAAGTGTAATGAAGACCGGCATTTCAACGGATATAAACTGAGTTAAGCACTAATGATGCTGCTGTATATGCAGTGAAACTGTATTTGATGTCTCGAACCATTAATCATTCAAACAACTATGTATATAATTATGGTCCACCAATCAGAAGCATGAAGTATTCTTTAAGAAGTCAAATGCTAGAGAATTGTTTTTAAGAAATTGTTATATACATCATACCTCTGAAGACTGTCCTAAGTTTTTATTGGTATGACTAAACGCAAGGTGCGATTCATGCTATGGGACCTCAAACAGCGTGTGCAAGATAGGCAGACCCTGTTCTGCATCGACTGAACATTGTGTCGTAAA